CCGCCGGCAGCTCATCCTCCCCAGGAGCCGGCGCTGCAGCAGGAAGCACCGAGATCATGTTTCAGGCTGGAATTCTGCAGGCGGCTCCTTCCTCTCCTCCCCTCCATCCTCCTCTTCCTCCTCCTCCTCCAGCCCCAGCGTGGCCGCTGGAGGAAGGTCCAGAGCCGAGTGTGCCACGGTGGGGGAAGACCCCAAGAAAGTGCTGCCACAGCTCAGCCTAAAGCTCCGAGGCAGCCTGGAGGGGGGAAGATCTCGGGGTCCCCCCTTCTCAGGGGTTTGTGTGCAGCCAAAGGTGGAGTTTAGCTCAGAGATGGGCTGGTTTGGAAGGCACCTAAAGATGCTCAGCACCCCAAAGTCTAAGCCAGGATGAGCTCAGAGGGGAGCTGCTAAAACTCGAGGTGGAAAGGGAAACACAACGCTGTGGATCTGTCTTTTTTTTGGGGGCAGAGAAGATCCAAATCCAAGGCCAGGAGCACTGGGAGAAACATCACCAAGGAGAGACAAATCCTCCAGCACCATCCACTGCCTCTGTGGGTCCCCCAGATGTCCCTGCAGGCACAGGGCTGGCTCCCCAAGCTGTCCCCTCACAGCAGGGACAATGTCTGGGTTCATCTCCAGAGCCTCCAGAAGGTGCCCTGGGCAGAGGAGGGGGAGAGGCAGCTCGGGGCTGCTGGAGGTGGTTTGGATCTCAGCTGAGCTGCTGCACTGCAGCTAAAAACAGCTCCAGAGTGAGGAGAAAGGGTCTTCAGCCCCCCAGGGGCAGGCTCAGCAGCAGGGATTCCTCTGCAAAGCCCCTGAGCTGCTCCCCACACCCTCCTCCTCAGCACCACGAGCACCCAAGAGCGTCCAAAGAACCAGGAACGTCCAAACCCCCCAATTTTAGAGGTGAAATTACAACTGAAATGGGGACACCTAAAGCACTGGCTGGTTTCTGGGCTCTGGAGGGAGGGCAGAGGTGGGATGATCTCTGTCTCTCTGGGGGGGACTCACCCTGTGCTCTGTGCCCTGGTCTCCAGAGCTGCAGCACGAAGCTTTCTGCTTGGCCTGGGGGTTTTTGGGGAGCGTGGAGGGCTCCAGTTCCACCCCCAGGAGCAGCCTGAGCTCTACAATTTGGGGCTAGGTGACTCCTGCCCGAGAGAGAGATCTCACCAGAGCCACACTTCTGAAAATTCAGCTTCAATTTAAAGTGTGGGAAAAGTTGGCTGGTGCCAAAAGATTTCAAGACAAACTCAAGACGGGCCTGCCCCAAATTTTTCCACTTTTATTTGCTGCATCTTGCCCAAAAAACTCAGGGCAAGGCTGAAATCCTGTGTGTGAAGAGAAGCAGAACAGAGAGACTGCAAGAATAACTCCTTTGGTTTACCCAACATCATTTTGGGGTGCCTGGTGCTGATCTTCTCAGTGAAGTTTAACCAAGAAAAGGAAGATCAGCCTAAGAAGAAAAACCTGAAGACCTAGAGGCTTCATTTGGGCACAGACTAAATTCCACTAGCTGCATCTTAAAGGATTAAGAGTTCAGCTCGGCTTTAATGAGTTTTAAACTGAAAATGTTTCCTCCTCCTGCCTTCCTCAGACTTGGCTGGGATCACTGGTCTCTTTAAAGACTCAGGAGCACGCCAAGTTTACTCCACACGCGCCAGGGAAAGGCAGCAGCAGGCACCTTCCTTTTGAAGTGGGAACAAGCATCTTAAATCCTCCACTCTCCAGAACCTGCAAACAGCAGAAAACATTTCTGGGAAAGTCTGAGTGAAAGCTCGAGCCTTTGAGCTGAGACCAAACTACAGAAAAGCCACAACCTTCAAGCTCGGCCGCATCATTTCCAGCTCAATGCACGAGCCAGGAGAGAATGCACCTCTGGATTTAAGAGCAACAGGAGGGATGGAACCTCCCTGCTGAAAAAAGAGAGCCCGAGGTAAGAAATCCTGGCACCCAGATGGGAGTTTGTTCGGTGAGGAGGACACAACTTCTTCAGATCAAGCCCTCAGAGCAGGGAGGAAACGTCCCCCCCAGGCGCTGCGGGGCTCCCGACTTTCCCTGCCCCGTGCCCAGGGGCCACTCCCGGGCCCTTCCCCGGGTTCTTTTGGTATTTCCTGGGGCTGGGCAAGCGGGGCTGGAGCTGCCACATCTGTTTCTCATCCTTGTCCCCCCCAGGATCTCCAGCCCTGAAAGGAAAAGGAGCCTGGGTCTCACCCCCAGCCTGGGTCTCACCCCCAGCGGGGACCGTTGGCTCCACGCACGCCCCTCCTCGCAGGCACCTTCCTCTCTCCAACACACAAAGGAATCCGTATTTTCTGAAAGTTAATAAACCCTTTCACAGCTAGAACCTGTAATTACCCAGCCAGAGAGCCCTTTTGTACCTTAATCTCCCCCTTTCACAGGCACAACGCACGCTTCCAAAGGGATCAGCCCCGACGCCCAGAGCGCCGCCCGGTCTCGGGGACCCTCTCGGGGACCTGTCGCTCCCCACCCACCCTCGGGCCAAGGTCCCGGCTCTGCCACCTCCTCCACGCCCCACGGGAGCGTTTCAGCTTGGGGACAC